ACTCACGAGCGAGAATGGCTGGCGCCAATGTTTTGTTGAAAGAACTGTAACGAAATCAGTTGAAATAGGATAAAATAGTGGGTGTTTCGTTGGGCCCGAAATGGTGCGTCACTGGTATCTAAAAATTTCATCCAGCTGACGTCGAATAACACTACGTGCGAATGGACTCCTATAAGCTTCTTGTTGCAACTCATCTTGCCATTGGGCCGGCTCCTCGGAAACGCGACGAAAACAACAAAATATCGATCCAAGACTGGACGAGGAGCTTCTACTCCCACTCACTGCACAATCATCAATTGCAGATGTGCAAGTGTTACTGCCTGCCCGACCTTTTGTGAACAAAAAGCTGCCGGTTAGACAGCCATTTGGTAAATAATCGAATCCCAATCTTCAATCAACTGTCCATCTGATTCCATCTATTCGACTCTAGTCGAACCTGCAGAACCTACAATTCGAGGACTCTTCCAGGCACTTTTCGTCGAAACTTCGAAACTGATCGACGATTTGTAACCTGATCGACGCTGTCTCTTCGGTCCAGGCTCCGACTCGAGATACTTCATCAACCGTGCGGTGATTCGGTCGCGCTTCTCCCGCCGCAGTCGCTGCTTCTTGGCCTCTGCCTGGCGAGCTCCAGCCCAAAGATTTTAGGTCCTAGACCGTAATTCTTGCCACAGGAAGAGTCGTCAAAAACCTCAGAAATCGTTCCAAACTTTTGACACTGGAGAGAACTGTTGTCTCTAATACCCCCTTTATGATTGTCTTGCAAACTAACCAAAGCACCAACCTTGTTGCCTTCTGAGGGGCAACTATGTCTACGTCCATAATTTGTCAGCACATTGCTTAAGAATGCGCGTGTTGGCCGCACCTCTGTGTGTGGCTGCAAGTGGCAGTATTGGCAGTGCTCAGCTTTGGCACACCCAAAGCGTGAAACAAAGAACACGCAGGGATTACCTCAGATTCGGATTTTCGTCTACACGGATCAGAGAATCTACATCATCCTCATGCCAAGAAAAATTCAATTCTAAAAAAATGACACTGTCACACTCTTGGGTTTCGTTTGGCCTGCGTGAGCGCTGCAGAACCACCAATTCTAGTGAAGTCATGATAGAATAAAGGTAGAATATGTATGAATATGTGGTTCATGGACTGCTGGCTCAAACCAAGCTAGTGATCCGAGTGGATCATGCCCACGACCCTGCTAGCCCATGCTCATCTATTTGCACAAAGACTTCTATCACCACCTCGGAAGTTGCCCGAACTTTGGGCTAGAACTCCACCCATCAACTGACCCGAAAAGTTACCTCAACTTATTCTCCCCAGTTGCAGGATAGGTGGTTTTGTTGCAGGTTTTTGTCACCTCAACTCAACTAGCTCTGTCTTTGGGTGCGTACACTTTACTCTACGAAACCAACGAGCGTATGCGAGCAGGCTCCTCCAAAGTTTTCGCCCTTAGTACCCTGAGTTGCCAAATGAATTAAACATCAGGCTTTGAACTGCGTACCCTCACCCCAGCTCTGGTCAAGTTTCAGGTCCCCTCAGCGTGTTCATCCACAGTGCCGCTTCGAAGCGAGTTGTCCACATAGAGACTGGGCGAAATTCAACGTCTGACTGGCTGGGTCACACTTCCCATCACTCACAGTGACACATACAGTGGTCAGTGACAAGGATGACCTGTGGACTGGGCCTGTTTTAAGCCTTTTGGAACGCGACATGCTCAATCCTGAGGTCAACTTGGATCCGAGATTGTTCTGTGTCCTTGTGAGGTCTCAGGTCGGACCCCTCAAAGTGTCACTGACTGGCTATGGTGCCATCCTGAGAGCAGCTCTCCCAGCAAAACAGCAAAGAAACACTGAAACACATTGCCATGACGAGAGAGGTTCCTTTTCCCAAAGGCCAAAGGGTCTTTAAGTTTAAGGGCCCTGATTTGGAACACCACGTCTTGCATTGGTTTTGTTTAGATATCAAACAGCAGCTTTAGCACTTTCCAGGGTATGCTGGAGTGTGTGCACCCACATGATTGTCTTTGTTCATGTGCTGTACCTGCATTTGTCCAATCTATTCTGACATCAGCTGCCAGATAGCTTAGCTTTTGGTGCCGTCGCGTCACTGTCTCTTCCCCCTTCCCTCGCGGGCCTGCCCTCAGCAATCTCACACGCCTGAATCGTTTGGGGTACGGCGTTGCCGACTGCGTCAGCACCGTCCTTGTCGCGATCACCGCCGGCGCCGTAGTCGTCGTCGGTCTCAGAGTCCAGAAGTGACTGATTCAGCTTCAAGACCCATCCTCAGTGAAGATTTGGAGAGAGAGAGAGAGAGAAAGGGATAATTATATAGATCGATAGAGAGAGAGAGAGAGAGATGCATCTTTGGGCTGATCTATGTGTTGTGGTTGGGTTCAGGCGTTGATGGAGAATGAGGAAGGACACCTCCTCTGGTCAGTTGATCAAAAGCCCCAAGCTGTCCCAGCCATCACTCACAATGCTCATCTTGGGCGCGTTCAAATCCTCCTGGACCCTAGTAGCGTCCTTGCTCCTAGTAGCGATGCCAGGAGCCCCTAGTAACATCCTTGCTTGCTCCTAGTAGCGATGCCAGGAGCCCCTAGTAGCTTCTTGTTCCTAGTAGTAAGGCCAGGAGCCCCTAGTAGCGTCATTGCCCCTAGTTGAACAGGCATGTTTCTGTCAAGAGATTGCGCTAAAATCTCCACGCGTTCGAAGTTTCTGGTTGATGCTTACTGATGATGAGCGACCGGAACCGTCAGACAAGCTTCTAGTCATGCCTGACGAAGAGGAAGAACACCCGTCATGATCAACCTCACCACCCTGCATGGTCCATCAGGCATCCTCCGGCAGTGCAGGTCGCAAAGGCAACAAGAAATTGGCAACAGGGCCAATAGCAAAAAGACTGGAGCTTGATTCATTCATGTCATTCCGACGCAGCTACACTCTTTAGATCTCTTTAGCCAGAAGGAATCTTGAATATAGGAAATGACCAACATTGTTCACTTGGGAGGGTGTGTATTCACTTCCGTCTGATGTCCCTATAAGCCGGGGTGGTGGTACCTCGCAGCTAAGAACAAGAGGGATCAAACTGAGTCCCATCCCCAGTTCCTAATGTCCGAAACCGCTGGATGAATAGAGGTCCAGAGCAATTTCTACCCCGCCGGGGAATTCGGAAACCACAAAGCCGTCCCGAAAGCATGTTCGTTCGGTACAAAGCGGTTCCTGAATGACGAAAAGGACCACACTTAATTACTCCTATCGCAAAACGCTTCCCTTCTAGGTGTTGATCTCTTCAACCTACCAACCCACAACGGTGGCTTCGGAATGAACCTGCTGGATCTTTCTCACCACACCCAGACCCATGAAGCCTCCACAAAAAAATGCCCCCAGGCCTAAGACGACATCAGCCGCCGCTCAAACGATTCTTCAGCGTTTGAGCTAAAAAGCTGAAATCTCCAGCAACAAGGTCTGCTGAAAGAGATGAATCAAGGGTTCCGTAAATGATATGATGATATGAATCCATCGCCTCAAAGAAATAGAAACGTGTCATCATGAGGAGTCCTCAGAATCACCCTGTCTGTCGCAAGATGGTTCATCTTGTGGCTTTCAGGCTTGTCGCATTTTGACCTACACCCCATCTGGCCCCACTAGTGCAAGACACTGGTGAGAAAAGCTGGACCATTCAGCCCTCTGGTGGCTTTGGGTGGTACATATGACGCACAAGTCTGACGTGTAAAGAAGAACGTAGACTCAGACATTGGTGGGAAACACCAAAAGCCGAGCTCCATCACTATTTGTCGTTAGATCAGCTGTCCAAAGGCGACTTTCACAGGTACTGGAATGCCTATCGCTGGTCTTGAAGCCGCGGCCCGACGTGTCCAACAGATGCTGGACTGGGAGTCGCACAAGTTCACAGGTGCGAGCTGGAACTGCCAATGAATCTTTAGAAAATTACACAAACACCCCAAAAAGCTGCCATTCATGGATGGTCTCCAGACCTGATACCAAACTTCTTGCTTTTTACCATCTGGAGATGAGTTTCTCTGCCTCTATTGTGGAATGAACAGGGCCGCCTGGCAGCCAAACGAAGCTTCTGGTCCACGGCAGCCTCGCAAGGGCACATAACCCGCTCTGATCCTCAAACCAATCTGGAGACTAGGTTCAATCGTTCTGCAGCAAGTCGTTCTGTAGCAAGCTTTTGAACACTTGAATGGTGAATGAGCTGCAAAGCTCCGTCCAGCATGTTCCAGATCCTACTTCGCATACCCCAAAAGGCTCCACGAGCGACCTGCGAGGTGTTAGGAAGGACCCTCAAATTGCAAAAACGGCGAATACCTGAAGCAGCTGCAGCTGTAGGGCTGTGTCAGTGAACTTCTAGGGGTTCACACCGCCTGAAATCGAGGATCCTTCTGGGCACAAAACTTTCCACACCAAACATGCGAGAACTCCCTAAATGGGCTCTCCACCTTTCTCCACCTTTGAGCCCACCAGAACAAAGGTTCCAGTGCCTCTTTGCCTGGCTACCTGAAGTTTTCAATCCCAGTGGTCGTGGCGCGGCCCTCTTTTGACTTGATGATCTTCATCTTGCTATATAAGCCAAGTGTGAGACCTCTTGCAGGCCTCCGTTTCCGGGCGCCTGTCTACTTAAAATGCCACCAGCATGTCCCCCTCTCCGCGCAGTGCCTTCTGCTTGGCTTCGCACTTCAGGGTGTGGCGACGAACCTCTGACTCCAGCCAGTGGAAGTTCCTGCCATGAAAATGGAAGGCGGGGCGGCCCTCTTTAACAACGTATATCAGGAGGCAATATCAAGACGTATCCTTGATTTCTATTGATCGATTGAATTCTGGCTTGTGTATAATATATACTGCAAAACATATAATACTACCAGGAAAACATAGTAAGCTTGGCATTTATTGGATCCTTTTGCTTGTGTCACGGATTAAGCCAACCGATGCAAGCATCGACCCACAGGTGTTCTCACAACTCAATAAACAGCATAATTTCACAGGCCTGCACCAAGGCATCTCTTTCTGTTCGTTCTGCTGGTCTGGCCCATGGTCTTCTCCAGGGCTAAACAACGATTGAGAATGATTCAAAGGACTTAAGTTTCGGAGCAAGCACCACGTGTATTGCCAGGGGCTTTGCTCAGGAACGGATCTTTAAAAATGAAACCTCCCTTTGGAGGCTCAAGGCCAAAACTCGTAAGGCCCCAAGGCAAACTAAGTGCAGAGTTGATTTGGATCCGTCTCACAACAAGGGAATCCCCCGACCAAAGGGTGAGGTTCATCTGCTTTCCATGTTGCCCGTTGTATATGAATATTGACAAGTATTGGATAATGTTGGTGTGGTTGATGTTGAGACACACCCGTCTGCCAAACTCCTACAGATCACATCCCCTTCGTCCCGTGGTCGTTTCTAGACCTCCAGCTGGAGCGGCTTAAGCTTCACCTGCAGGGGTTGATGCTGCACCTGCGACTGATGTGGACATGCCGGACACCGGCCACGTGCCATGCGGCAAACGGTGGCTCCAACTTGCTGGTCGACATTCCAATAGTCCAGCTCGCGACGAAGCAAAATGAGATGGTTGAAGGGAAAATAGACACACCCCGGCATCGCAGCACGATTCATGCCTCAAATCCCAAGCCCTCTCATGGTACTAGAGGGCAACCGACGAGTTGCAGGTTGAACGAACAAATTGATACAAATTGTCCGTCCCCCATATCTGCAAAAGGCAAACCCTGGAGTGTGCCTTGCTCAAAAAAGAACTCAACCCTGAGCAAAGATTTTTGTTGCCATTGATGTACCTTCATTTCTGTACAGAATAGAGAAGCAAAAACACACGTTCCTGTTCCATGCCTCTGAACCTCCTCCAGCTCCAGGAGTGTAGTGCTACAAGAATGAGTGCACTATCTCACGAGAGCCACTTGGGCAAACTGTTTGCAAAATCAATACAAACATTGAGTCAGACTAAAGTTTGAAACACTGGTTTAGTGAACTGGGACAGAATACTATATCTAAATTTAAATCTTGTGTGTCAAATAGTTTCATTCAAGCCAGTTTTGTTACTGGTTCAAAACCACACCAGCTTTCTGTAAGGTTTTTCAAGCACATCAAGCTGTTTCATGACCAATCAAGACCACGTTACCTATCGGATCCAAAATCAATCTTGTCTTCTTAATCTCCCGAGGTACACTATTCTATTTCAATTCTCGTTCCTGATTCTGAACCTCAACTTGAATTTCACCACATTTGAGGTCCGAGTGGCCCACCAAAGCTTCCTCCAGCAATGTCTGCATGGAGCCCCGCAGTGACGCCACCAGCCGCACTGCTGATTCCGTGCAGCGCCGCGCTGCCCATAGAGCTGCGGAGGCATCCAGGAATTCGGCCACGATGACCTACGTGTATGGCGGGGGCTCGCAGCCGAAACTGTGAGACAAGGCGTCGGTGAAAAACTTTGGCCCGCCCCTGCCTCAGGCGAATGCTGCATGATCACTCGGTCGAGAAATTCCAGGCACTCCTCCTACAGGGAAAGTAGTGTCAGCGCGCTGGTGGGACTGTTTGAAGTCAATGGTAACACAGGAGGGGGTTGGTTCCTTAAAATGCTTTTGGAGTCTTGGATGTTGGGAAGGGTAGAACTAGAACACATGAAGATCGACAACTGATCCATCGAATCAAACATGGGTGGAGGCCAAGTTGACCGGACACGACGAAAACCATGGCTCCCAGCTCAGAACACATCCATGAACCAAGAAGAGATTCACAGAACTTACAAAACCTGCATGGCGAACAAAAGTTGCTCGCAACGCCCACAAGACTGTGTCCGGACTGATAAAGTGCAAAAAGTGCAACAAACTAAATGCACTGGGAGTGTCTTCTGGGACGTATATGAGTAGAGTTAGATAACTATGATCTTTGGAGCTGTGTTTCACACGAGTACTGAGTACAAGCCAATTCCACTGCCCCACCTTGTCGCCAGGCGTGACGACTCGCGCCAAACCCAAGAGGCCCGCGCCGAGCTCATTCCAGAAGTTGATGTAGACGACCTTCCAAATGCGGTCCATCCGAAGCAGCAAAAGCAGGACATGGTAAAAGAGAGCTAAACTGGAAAAAAAACCACAGAAGAAGGGGATCAACAGCCGGTGTCAAGTGTATTCTGGGTATGCTACCTGCAACTGTTGGAAAGGACCATGCCATGCCTGCTCTGTTTTTGACAGGCCAACCGCAACATCACGCAGCACTGTTGACTTGCCACTGCAAGCGGGGCCCAAGAACAGGCTGGAGCCCGTCTTAGCTTGCTGGGCCACAGGCAATGCGATGCCTGTCAGGAAAGGTTCATGGTGCTTCAGAAGTGCTGTAGCGACAAAGGGTGCACAGTGGGCAACAACCTGGATGGTGGTATCCGGGTCTATATTGAAGCAACACCGACAACCCCTGCTTCATTGTCACATCTGCACAATATCGCCTGGCAGGATCCGGGTCAAATGGAGAACTAGCACATCCAGTTCTCCGCCACGGTAGCTGCAACTCAAACGGTGCCAACTGTTGGGAATCTGGACCATCGTGGAGCCAGTTGGCACGTTGACGTCGAGCTGCTTCAGCATCTCCACCAGGTCCGGCGGTGTGAGGGTCACCTCCAAAGAAGACGATGGCGATCGGGACAAATGTTCATCATTTGTTCTGTTTACCATTGGAGTCTGTCGGGTCAATCAATTCCCAGAATCTGGCTGACTGATTCTAAGTGTGATTGCTTCGACCTACTGTTCAAATTCATGGAAGCGGTTGTCAAAAAGAGCGTTGATGGTGATTGACTACACTGTCTTAGAATGTCTATCCTGTGCGGTGTAGGAGTGCTTGTAGGACCAGATCTGGACAAGTGCAGTCTATGGCCCCTAGGCACGTCCAAAGCTTGGGTGGGCGTCTTTGTGGTCGCTTCGGCTGCTGCGTAGGCATTGCAGGACTCCGAGGACCTGCCTCTGGAAGAGATGCACTGTTCAAATAGCCCTTCCGCAAGGCCACTTGGAGTGGTCGGCCAGCTTGGAGAATGAGACGTTGTGCGCAGGACTTGTGCAGCATCTCAGCCAAAACTGGTGCAGTCACCTAGCAGCAAGGAGGTGCCCTGGCAACTGAGATCTCAATGGTCAAAAATAGAAGAGGTACACTTGTTTAAGCTGACCTTGAAGTAGTCACTGTAGATCCTACGTAGGTCAACAAACCAGGTATCTCCTTGGTAACCCAACTCAAGAACATGGACATGCAATCTGCTGGCGAGTATGAAAACCAAGGGACCGTTTTGCATAGGAGGGGTTGTTGTGTAGTTCTTCATAAAGTATACCCATGTTGTTTTTTGGGCAATATTACTCAAGGAGCTTGAGGATAAATCAAGCTACTGTATATTCCTATGGCATCTGGAATGCTCCATGCGCAATCTACACAAGAATGACTGGAGTGATAGAGATAGGGAAACGATAGGGAAACATGAGGTGATGTTCAACCTTCAATCCCATGTTCTGGCCATCAACTTCTGCAATTGCTGACGACCAGGATCGCGAAGCTCAGGCTTGCTTAGGCTCAGGGACCCGAATCTTAAGGGACGATGTTACGTAAGGCGTAAGTGGTAAGTTGCGACCATGCCACCGCACGTCCCCTCATGTCCCCTGCAGTCCCGTGGCCTGTTGAAGCACTTTGCCGGGGAGCTTCGACAGCAGACTGAGGTCGCCTTACCAATCACCATGCAAAAAGTTTTGAAGCATGGCCATTGCGCCTTCCACAGAAGACACTGGTTTTTGTGGGAGGAGCAAAGGTTTCGTCTTTCTTCTACTATATAGACTGCAGCAAGTGGTCCTTGGTGCGGTAGATACATTGACCAATAAACTTATATAGTCAGAAAAAGGTCTGCAGCTTCTCGAACCCTTCTGTTCGGAGTTCTTGATTGATATATAAGCATCAAATAGCATCCAACAACCACAGCATCGTTGAAGCAATCAGTTGAACTTGATTGACATGCCACACAGAAACTGAGGCTTGCATTTTTCCGCACCACCCCAGCGCGATTAATATCATCTCACCACATCAACTTTCCAGACTTCCCGACTGAGAACGACTGCTTTCAGAAGCTTCAAGGCTCAAACATGCCTCAGCCTTGGACAACACGGCCACATGGAGCTTCAAACAAAGGTCTGTCATACTTCCTTGCTCAATGAGGAGAGGATCACATTTGACCTTTCATTTTCGAGGTCAGGCTTGGTTCTTTTCGGAGCTTTTTAGATTGCACCCATTTTGACCAAAATGGCGTACAGGGTAAAGCAACAAACACTCAGATGGCAGCAATAAAGTGTTGACCCTCCACCTTTGATGTGTTCTTGGAAAAGCATCCGTTTGTTCCCCCGTTTGTTTTTCCAAACCTCATTCTCCATCCAGGTCACAAATGCACTTCTGCACAGGCGCATTGAAGCTGGCCTTGTTGGTGATTTTGTCACCCTCCAGTCACAGTTTGTTTCGGATTGTTTCGGAACATCAAATGCTTCCTGTATGCGTTCCTTATGGCGACCAATCCGAGTGCTCGGCAGGTCGCTTCATCCCATAGATCAGCGTGTCCAACGGCAGGTGCGGCGAAGACACTGAGGTTGCGGCTCCTTCTCGGCCTGGAGGAATTAGTCTGAGGGTCGTGATCAGAGCGCTTGTCCTTTTGTGGTGTTCATGTTGGTGTTGGTGTAGTGTTAGGTGTTGTTCCCATCGCTGGATGCTTGTCTCTACTTTTCCTCCTGCCAGGAAGATTGGGCCTGTCCCACGAGTAGACGTGCTTGCACTGTAGGGTGGTTCTATACATATATATATATATATTTATAAAGGTCAATGAACAGTAAGATCAACTATGTACAGGCTATCTCCAAAAGTATCTAATTGAAGCGGCAGATGGAATGGGGGATATTATATGTCATGTATGCATACATCAAACTGTGCAAACAAAGACATCTCGGACTTCAGTAAGAATCTTGTAGGCCAGCCTGGGGAAAAGGAGCTTGTGACCAATCAAGAGGTGGCATAAGTGCATAAGCCCTGTACTAGTTATGATCAGGAGGATGTTCGGAAAGTTTTAAGAGCGCAAGAAAGAGCGGACTTGGTAGCTTCTGCATTTGGCAATCTTTATTTGGCAATCTTTGAGCAGAGGAACACATGAATGAAAGGCTCGATCAAACCCGATTTGAAGAAGACTTGCTCTCCTTTCATTCTCCTATTTGGGGATATGATTAGACGCAATGCTCTTGTGGTTTCCATCTGCTGCTTAAGTATATGTATCAAAAAGCATCTGCGTGTAGTTTCTGACATCTTGGCTGCAGAGCCAAGATTTGGATATACAGATCATCAATTGGATTAACCAGAGAGAATTCTTTGGACTCACAAATGGTGATTCTGAAGGAGAAACGGACAATCTGGAGACAGCCATTGAAGGTGCGTGCAACATGGTCAAAGAAGTAAGCTGCCCATAGACAGACCCAAGTGAAGACACCAGTGGAGTAAGGTTTGTATGTCAACAGGCGGAAACAGTGCACGTAGCCGTTCTGATTTTAGCATTTGCACGTTTACACGAACTTGGCAGCACAAATTGCATGAGCACAACAGCGTTGCTGCGTTGCGTGTCATTAAGGCCGTTGAGTTCATGTGGCAAATGTGCTTTGATTGTTGAGGGGTGGAGAGGCAGGTGCAGGGGTGAGGTCAGGGTAAAGGATGCATGTGAGCGACGGTCAAAATGTGTTGTGGAGTTGCAGGTCATCAGGATCTGATGAGTGCATTATCTTTTTTCACATCCGTCACATTATCTTTTTTGGTGAGTGTGTTGTCGTTTTTTAGCAAACCATACATTTTGAACTCCCATGACCACTCACTGACTATTCGTCACTTTCACTAATTTTGAGCCTGGCTCATGTGCGTGTGCAGCATACCCAAAGTCGCCTGAGTTGTTTTCAATTGCATAGTTTTTTTGCGCTGCGGTTCCGCGTTCACATCACGGTACTTTGCGCCTGCTGCCTGGCACATGGGTGTGTGAGTGTGTACAGCATCTATGCATACAATGAGCTGTTTAAGATTTTAGCAATGGAGGAACGAATGTGCTTCGACCACTGACTTGGCACATGTTTGCGAAGCTCGAATGCATCCACTTGGCCGACTAAGATTCAGGTCCTTCAGGTCCGATCGTCTCCGCCATTTTCCTGTGACAACACACATATTCAAAACCTCTAAAAGATCGTGTCAAATCTTGCTGGGGCCTCCCTGATGTTCAAAGGCAAACACGTTGCAGAAAACACAGAAAACAACATGAGACAAATATCGATTTCTGCACATTCCCCAAACAATAACATTCACAGTTTTGCACCATCGGAACAAACCAATAGAACATCATGTGTTCCTTCCGCCACAAGTTTATGTTCCTGAATAGGAAAAAGGGAGGATATTTGGATTTGATTCACCGCACACTCACATATTGCCAATCCATTTACGAACCCACTGCTTTTCACCCACTTGACGTCTATTGATATTTTCGGCTGTCAACAATGAGCGCAACAAGGGTTAAAACATCGAGAATGAACGTCATGGCCCGTCCAACCCTATTGGTCGAAGAAAAGGAACAAAGGACTTCCAAAAACAGCGGCAACCTTGAATGCAAAGTACTGATAATCAACACTTGCACGGAATCCTAGGCCTTCAGCATTATACAGCTTTCATGACAAAGCCTGTAAAGTTTTGCAGGACACGGGAACCGCATCCATACCTTTGGTGGTTGGTTGTCATCTGCCGCTGAAAGCTGCCTGCTCCATAAGCTTTCTGTGTTTGAACAGGCAAAGTTTTGCACCAGTTTTTTGGGTTTCCCGAAGCACCAGGTTCCTTGAGCAGCCTTCGGAACTGGGTAGTGCTTCTGGTGCTTCTGGCGCTTCGGAGACGGAGTCTGCCACCACCTCGGAGGTTTTAGCACAGGGAAGGAGGCAAGACCTAGGGGTGTCATGGCAATTCTTGCTTGGACAAGCAGATGCACGATGGATATGGCAGCCGGCGCATTGGAGGCAACTAACCGTGCCCGAATCAAAACGGTCTTTCACAAGGCAAAACGCATGAACCTGTCGCATGTATATATGCCCCTGGGAAACCTCCATGCTTTGAACACAATTGGGTGAATCATTTGCCCGGTCGGCACCTTGCACTCCTCCTCTTCTTCGGCATGTGACTTGGATGGCCTTGCAGAGGTGCACAAAGCACAGCTCAGCTCCGGTCTAGCATCTTCAAGCTACACGGCTACTTGTAGGAACCAGAATTGGTACATGTGTTGTGCATGTTCCTTTTCCAACCCCGCAGTTTCTGGTGCCTGGTTTTTCCCGGATAATTATACTGGTCAGGATAATACAGATCCAAGCAAATACAAGTACCACGACAAAACACTGTCCATTCGGTGTGTTGTGCTTTCTCTGACCATAGTTGCTCGGATTGACACACTCCTCTTTCTGCTTGACTTGCTAAGTCAAGCACCATTCCGGACTTAGACAATGACTCTGCCAACTTTTTTGACTTCAAACAGCTTGTAACTACAGTAACTACAAAGGCCAGAATCAAGGACCTCTTCAAATTTGAATTGCCAATGAAATGCCCCTTGGAAAGGTCCTCTTTGATGACCACATGAGTTGTTGTAGAGTCCGTTTATTCTCTCAATCTTCCCCAAATGCTTCCCAAGAGCTCATAGGCTTTGGAGTGAGTACCTAGTTCCCATCTCATGAACATCCCCTATGACCAGCGGCTAAATGGTCCGGCCAAGGAGCGAATGCATTGGAGGGTTGGACTCGGGGTCGCCATCCTCGACTGGAGGAACCATGGGAGGCACAGATGTGAGTCTGGCGCTCGCTTCCAGGACTGAGATGAAGTCCTGGAACTGCAGAAACAAAAGACCTCAAAAGGGGGGAGTGAGTCAAAAAGGGTGGAAGGTGGAAACTCCCACCGACTGCGGTTGAACCAGTTGTTCATTTGTGCTTATATACAGCTCTGCATGGATTTGCAAATGAATATCCATTCAATAATGGTGTAGAAATCAAGTGGTCCCAACATACTGGTTTTTTTACACACACTCATGGATATGCGTACTGACTTGACAGCGGTGCCACACGCCAGCCTAAGAAACCCAAATCCTGAAAAAACCAGGTGAGGGGGCCTGACCGCCTGTAGTTAAGGCCAAAATTCCAAAGCCGCGAGACGACGAACAGGGCGAGGTGACGGCGATCGCTCTTGTCTGCAGCTATTGAGGTTCTGGGCTTAGCCTCATGCCATTCAGAAAAATCGGAAAAATCGCAGGTACGTTCGGATGATCAGTCCGAATATCCCACTCTGTGACCTAGCTTCGTTGAACTGGGTCAGTCACAGAGTGCCCAGTTCCCCTGCTGCAAAACGAAAACACCAAAAGCAAGAACAATCCGAAAGGATCCCTGTGATTCCAAGGGGTACACACACACGCCTCCCCGAGGGGAGGCAAAATTAAGGCTAGGACCAATGTGCAAATGTGCGCGCAACAAGGACAAAAGGATGAAGACATGAGAAGGAAGACGACGGGACAAAAGTGTGTGTGGTTGCGATGAAAGAGAAACCAAATGCACAGGGACAACCGATGAAACCTCATTGTCGAAACCTGGGCGACCTGAAACCTGAGTTGGACGTAGATGCGCGAATACACACTAAGGCCCGGACCGTTGTACGCGCAAAAGAACGAAAGGAGTGAGATGAAAGGACATGAAGCAAGGGAAGACATGAAAAGAAAGAGGAAAAGAAGTGTGCGAAGGGGAAAGGATGAAAAGGTAACCAAATGGGGGGGGAACGGGAACCGATGAGCCCAGACCTCACCTGCCTCGTTAAGGTGTGTACGATGTGTGTGCACCTGAGAGTGGGACAGGTTCCAATGAACCTTGAACAAGCTTCGGTCGCTGCGACCACGTACGGCTTGCCCGAGGGCTGCCACCTCTGACCGCTACGGTCACGTACAGGCATGAGCCAACTTGGAATTCCAAAGATGAGACAAACATCCCACTTCTTGAGGCATAAGCCATCTGCTGTCCGCTCCGGACACTTACATCTCCAAAGCAAGGGAGATAACGACAAAACCCCGTTCTACGGGTCCACGGGAGGCACTCTGCGGGCTCATCCCGGGTTGGCACGAGGCCAAACACACTCATGGATATGCGTCCTGACTTGACAGCGGTGCCACACGCCAGCCTAAGAAACCCAAATCCTGAAAAACCAGGTGAGGGGGCCTGAGCGCCTGTAGTTAAAGGCCAAAATTCCAAAGCCACGAGACGACGAACAGGGCGAGGTGACGGCGATCGCTCTTGTCTGCAGCTATTGAGGTTCTGGGCTTAGCCTCATGCCATTCAGAAAAATCGGAAAATCGCAGGTACGTTCGGATGATCAGTCCGAATATCCCACTCTGTGACCTAGCTTCGTTGAACTGGGTCAGTCACAGAGTGCCCAGTTCCCCTGCTGCAAAACGAAAACACTAAAAGCAAGAACAATCCGAAAGGATCCCTGTGATTCCAAGGGGTACACACACACACACACAATCTCGAAAACCAAGAGCACAAGTCACAAATAGACAAACATAATTCCTATTCGTCTGACCATTCCGACTACCCCCACATCCTCCAGACCATCGGCAGTTGAAATTAATATTCCAGGGCCAGCGGTCAGCATATACGTTTCGTCAAGCTTGGTGTAGAGCAACGGTGCTTCCAAGAACGTTGTGGGCACGCCTCTGGCTTGCAGTCGGATTTTCAAATCAATTGATCCCATCGCCTTCTCTTGCAAAGCGCTTCCGATGCAAAAAGCCCTTTTGGACGGTGCGGTTGATGAATCCAAGGAGGCGATCGCAAACATGGGGCTTGGGAACCGCTCGAGCATGCTTCTGCCAAGGAAGGCAAGGACTGCCGGCTGCGGAGCAAAGGACACTCTGTCATGTGGCTGACCTGGCTGGAATTGAAATAAATCCGGTCTTTGGAGGAAAATTTGGAAGAACTGTTTCCGACTGTCCCAGCCAGAAACTCGCTGGCAAAGTTCTGCATACAGCCCTGCAGTTGTAGACTCACCCGAAAGATCTCGCAAAGCCCAACCAATGTGCATGTCCTCTGTGGTTGGTGCTTTGGTAGCTACGGCAAAACTTAAGCTGGGAAAGTGTTCTTGCCAGCAGAGCAACCGCCTTCGTTCTTGAGGACTTTCTGGGTGGGAAATCGCGAAGTGCTCAGGGTATTTCTCGCAAAGCTGTTCAATGGCCACAGCCAAGCTGGTCGATGTCAATTGCACATTGTCAGGTAGCAGGATCCCGAGGTTTGTTGCCACAACGCTCCTGCTTGCCTTCACGACAAGGCCATGCTCATGGATAATTTTGACCAAATGCGCCACGATATGCTCCTCCCACCGTGGACTCTTTGCTCCCTGCATCACCTCGCAGGCAACACCCGTGCGGTTGCAGGGATCTTGGATTGTCAACAGAAACACAGAGTTGCTTCGCCAACATACGAAGAAACAGATTGTAGTTTGAACAAAGGATTCCAAGAAGAAACAAGGATGTTCAGTACAATATCAATTGGCTCCCTTAACATCATTGGCATCAGCCATTCAAAGCAAGGCACAGTGTCAGGCAGCCCACTGGGCGCAGGGGAAGCAGTGGCTGCAGCAGCACTAGCTTCACATTCAGCCGGCGGCCCTGCACAAAGGGCTTGGAGACGAAGATCCGATGATGTCTTCAACATCTACCCACACTTTCACCCGTTGTCGAGCAAAACGTAAGACTGGCTCGTCCTAGGAAAAGATCTGGCTGCGCGCTTCACTAAGGGTTGCTTGCACAAAACCCACGAGCACAAGGTACATCAAACGGAACAAGCCGCCTTCTGTGTCCAGCTTCAGCGACGACATAGCCTGCAACCACAAAGCGCAAAGTCCAACACCTCCAAATCAATCCACACAGCATCTATCTGTCGCATATCAAACGCTGCTCACCCAACTTCCACCATCCTTCCCGGGTTAGCCAGCCGCCAGTCAAAACGAGCCTGTTATTGACAAGTCAAGCCAGGGTCCAAAGTCTAAAGGCAAATGACTTGAATGTTTGCGGCCCACGGTTTGTAAAGGCAATGTTTAATTGACTGGGCATGGAACGACACACGTGGATTGCCCTTTCGCACCTGGTGAGCTTCCTCTGCACCCAAGTCCGATGACCTAGTGGAATTGCAGTCAGCAGTGGCAATGGAGTGCTTCTTCAAAACATCAAGGTATATAATATACATATAAATATATATATATAGGCAGCCTTTCTGAGGCGTTTAAGAAATGGTGGTGGGACCGAGTGCCATCATCTTGTTTGACAAGGATCCTTGTCCAAAACCAAACTTGCAAGTCCCCTGACCTAAAGATTCGGAACAATTGTACTTGTATTTAATGACCAGATCGTACCGTGCCCGGTGTTCCACTCCAACCAAGGAGCCCAGATGCCGCAGGCTTTGCAGCGTCTTCGGCCAAGGCCACGACGTCTCCGCTCGAGGGAAGAGATGGAGGTATAGCGCGTGCCTTTGAGCTCGCCTTCAGTAATGGGATGAAGTCCTGGAACAAGAAGCAAGGACTGGGACTGGGACCTGCGTGTTAGTGGACCCAAGCTCTCACAAAACAATCGCTGACGCTGCTATGGGAAAGCTCCTCTCTAGAGTGTTGGAATATGGGTGTATGTTTTAAAGGTTCCTGGGATGTTTGACTATGGGGTATGCTTCAGGGAATGCTTCGCCGAAGTCGAACATTGAACTTTACATAAACTCGACTCCATGGAACGGAGTAGCTTTCCAAAAGCCAATAATACAGGTACTACAATGCAAAGCCGCATGAAATCCATGTCCTCCAGACCATCTGCCATAGAAATCAGAAGCCTGGGACCCTTGGTCAAGAACACATTCCCGGACACTTGGGTAAAAAGAAGCGGCTTTTGGGAAAAGTAGCTCTTCTTGCTTTTCATGCCTTCCTCTGCAAGTTTAGCCAACAGGGCTTCGGACTCGAACACACCTCCCTTCACCTCTTTCAAGAGGTTTCCGATGTAAAGATCCTTTGAGGATGGTGTTGAGAAAAAAGAGGTGATGGCAAATAATGGGCTCGGGAAACTGGCAAGTGTGCTTCTGCCAAGAAAGGCGAGAACTGGCAGCCTTGCTCTTCTAAAGGATACAACTTCCTGGCAGAGTGAGAACAAATGGTGCCTTTTGCTGAGATAGATAGTAAACTCCTCTTGGCTGTCCAAGCTGGAAACACGTTGGTAGAGCTCTTCAATAGTAGCCTTTCCGGAAAGCTCTTGTAAAGCACGTCCAATTTCCATGTCTTTCCTGCTTGGTTTTATCGTCGCCTCGGTGGCAAAACTCTGGCTTGGAAAGTGATCTTGCCAGCAAAATAGGCGCTTTCGCTCTGTACAATCTGTTGGGTGGCAAATCTCGAAGTACCCGGGATATTTCGCACAAAGCCCCTCGACATCAAATGCCAAGGCATCTGACCCTGGTGCATTCACAGGAAGCAGGATGGCCAAGTCTGTGACTCCTGTGCTTGACTGCACCTCCAGGCCATGCCCATAAATAAGCTTGACCAATTCCTCCACGATATGCTCCTCCCATCGGTTGGGGTTTCCACTCTGAATCGCCTCGTACGCAAGACTTTGCCAAGGTTTGCAGTTGGTGGAAACAAGGCGCAGCAGCCAACATTCACATCAAATGACAAAGCGTGCAATAATGAGAAGCAGAACCACTCTAGTTGCTTGGGGTCAGTACATACCTGGCATAGGCTCCAAGCACAAGCACAGAGTCGGCTATTTACTCCGAGGCACATCATTGCTTGTTCCACCGGATATTGCAGCTGTGGGTGCTGTAACAGCCCTAGCCCTAGCTTCGCCTGCACGAAGGGCTCGAATCCGGACTTTTGGCAAATCCACATGAAAGATTCGGTGGGCTTCTTACAGGAGTGTCTGTCAGGAACTTGAATGGTAAAACGCAATGAATCCTATTTCTTAATACACAAAGTCAGTCCACTGAAAAAAGACCTCACGAGCAAAAAGATTCTGAAGCCATGCTCTTTCCCTGTCACTACATTGGCTTGATGAAAGAACAACAAAAACAACCGCATGCCCAGAAGTGTTCACAAGCAGACCAGCCACCCTCCCTTGCCGCCTGTGGAAGTAGATACCTGAAGGGGCAAGCACAAGCTGGACTTATAACAACTGCCACACCCTCCGGTCCCAATGCTCAGGTTGATGTGTTCTTAAGTACATCGGTCTGCGCCCATAGCGGAAACTCATTCTGTCCTCTTCTTGTCTTGAACTCAAGTCCACAAGAAGATTGTTCCCCCCTCGTGCAGCCCAAATACGTTTTCTTCCCCCTCACTCTCGGATTCTGACCTTACACGAGATGGCGCACCGAGAGGACTCAGCTAGCAAGCTGACTTTTGACTAGCAACAGCAGGCTAACACCAAGCTGAGAATATAAATCCATACCGTCTTTACCCATACTGCGCACACTACTTATATGAATTGCTTGCACCTGGTGGTGCTTTGTCTCCAAGGCAAGTCACTGATGCCCTGGAAGGTTCGCCATTTGACGCACTGCCTGGTCGCCGCTGGCCTCCACAAGAACCGGAATAAAGTCCTGCAGGGGTGTTAGGAGGCTTGCCACTGGCATACTACTTCCCTTGCCAGTTTGGAATCTTGGACCTGCCTGTTTTGAGGCATCCCAGAACAGCATTGTGCAGAAAAGGGTTCTGGTTTTGCACTCCTACATCCACAAAAGAAACCTGCACCATCTTCAAGCAACGTCACTCCCAGCAGTGTGTCTCAAGATAGAAATTGTAGGATTTTCTGCTTCAATAGTACCGGTTTCCTCCCGTCTGTCTGTCCTGAAGACCATCTGCTGCTGAGACAAGAAGCAGGGGACCAGCAGGCAATGACACCTTTTTGTCAACGATGGAAAACAAGTGTGGCCTTTGGCGCAAGTACTTCAGCTTGCACTCTTCATAGCTATGTCTCCTTAGTGTGGCCTTGAAAGTATCTTCGTTGACCTTGTTCTTTTCTTTCAAGAACCAGCCGATGGTGAGATCTTTCAAGGACGGTGCTGTAGACGAGTCCAAGGAGGCGATGGCAAACATTGGACATGGGAAAGAGGCTAGTGTACTTGCACGAAGAAAGGCCAGGACTGGCTGCATGGTCGGCGTGAAGGAGACCATCTTGTCACAACGTTGAAACCAATGCGGCCTGTTCAACAAGTACCTACGGAATTCTTTTTCCCTATTCTTTTGGTGCTGGCATAGCCAAGAAAACTCTGCTATGCCACCCAACTCGCGTAAGGCCCATGCGACCCGTATGTCGGTCTTGCTTGGCCGGTGTGGAGAGCTTATGGCAAAGCTTAAGGTCGGAAAGCGATCTTGCCAACCAAGGGCACGAGCAAGCTGCTCTGAGCATCCGCGATGCGCGATCACGAACTGTTCAGGATACTTGTGGCACAACCCCTCAACATCCTCCACCAAGCTGGTAAGTATTGGTGAATTTCCACCCAGGAGGATGGCAAGGTCTCCACTTTTCCTGTTCTCATGCACAACAAGGCCATGCTTACGGATAAGTTTAACTAAATCCGTCACGATGTGCTGCTCCCACCGTTGGCAGCTTGCACTCTCAATGGCCTCACATGGCGAGGATGCTCAAACAGAAGAAATGTTTCGCGGATTTGACCGTTGTGACTGCATATCATTACCAAAACGATAGAAGGGATAATACGGTCGGGCAAAAGAACTCGCGGTAGCTTGAACGAGTTGATGAAGAGTGTAGCGTGTTCAATGCCTGGAGAGAATCTGCCAATGCCTCCGTCTTCCTTTGCTTCTGCCTGGCAGCGATTCTGAACTGAACTTCATTAATCACTGCCGTATGAGCAGGCCACAGGGCATGACAGCGGGAAATCAACGGATCCATGTCAGCCATTTGTGAAGCAAACAGCAAAATGCTTGCTTCCACGACCACCACCACCACCACCAGGAGGAACAGCAGCAAGAACCAGAGCAGCCACAACGACAACATCAAGCTAGCGGGAGTCCACTCTTGATCCTCTTCATATCTTCGGCGCCTAGATCAATTGTCGCAAGAACAACTTGATGCGGGTATTACGCTTGGAGAACGTTCGGTTTGAATGCAGAGGTCTGATGTCATTTGCCAGGTTGGAGATAGTCTATCACAACTCTGTAAGCCGACAAAGCTCTCAGCATGACCACATCTTCTTGGGTGTTCACAAGATTAGAAGCTTGTAAGCAATAAGCTCCCAGCTCTTGGCTTCTTTCTCCCACAAGTTTCTCCTCCCTTGCTTGTTCCTCAACGTCTGACACAAGACATGCTTGCCACTCCAAGAAGCATTTCTGCTGCGGGGCCGCCCTTGTCATTTTTGGTCCGGCTCGCTTGCATGAATTAGGATGATGTGAAAATGACCTTAGACCTCCTTCTACCACGACCAAGGAGCGTCATCCATCCATTGTCCCCAACAAACGATGACTGTCCTCGTGACGCAGCTTACTTTCTTCTGCCTCCTGAATGACAAATTGTCAAAGTCAAAGTTGTGGGCGCTCGGTGAGGCCCTGAATGTCCATCCCAAATCAGCCACAGACGGCAATAGTATTTGGACCGTCCCCACAAGTTTATAGGGAACACCACAACACCACCGTACACCATACCAGAATGAATTCAGGTCTACTTAGAACTGCGGGAGAGATTGAAACATACTTTCGTTTAAAATGCGCATAAATGGTACATGAAAATTCTAGCACAAGTCGCTCCTCCCGAGCCCTCCATTGTGTTGCAATCTCCTTGTGTTTCTTGTCAAAGTACCTCTCAACAAAAGGGAGGCAAGGCTCTGTTTGAGAAACAAGCATACAAACTGATTGAGAACCATGATTTTGTGAGTGATGGACTGACTCATGGATGAGCCCATGTCAAATGACCATTCCTAGGAGGTTTTGTCTCATATCAGAGCACAATCAGAGGAGTTCTCATCACCCCATCTCCTGGCCATGCTAAGCTGGAGGCTCTACGATCTTCTCTTCAAACAAGGGAGTGGCTTTCTCCACCTGCATGGCCGCAACGCTCTTTTGTTTATATATATGGCCAACCCGCCCCAACCAGGCAAAAAGTGTGTTTGTTTAAGGGTATGGCCAAAGAGTGTTGGGCACCTAAGGAACCAACCACCGTGAGAAAATGCATGAAAAAGGGAACTGCTATTACTATCTGCAGAACAGGAGATGTCAAGAAATGTGCTCTTCGCCTGATGGCCCCAAGCCACGAACAAGTCCGTCAAGATCTCTTTGGCAGTGTCCTTGCCAGTGTGTTCTTTTTGGGGTTCAACAGGCACTGAAGCATTGGGTCAGATGCATTTCTCAAATGCGCCTCAACCAGCAGCTGCCTTCAAAGCTCCAGGTCTGTGTCACCCTACAGGGCCCATTCCCCCTGCGTGCTAATCACATTCGAATGCTTACGGGGGTTGACCCAAACCCATGTATGCATCTGTCCTTGTTCACGTGCGGATTGATTTGGACACTGACGTTGCTGATTGTGCACTCTTTGCCTTGTGCCAGCATGGCCTGCAATTCCATTGGTTTCACCAGAACTCAATTGCTTTCAACAGGGAAAAAAGGTTGATTGGCTGTTATAAACTGTCAGAAGCTTGTCACAAACCCGTGGGGTATGGTATGGCAAGAATGTATGTTGATGAACAGGGCCGAGTAGCGGACACAGGGAGACCTTTGAGACATGTTTCACCACAAATGCTTTGATTTGACTAGGAACATGTTCTGATCGGCAATGGTTCAATATGTGTTTTCATGCATTTTCTGTCGATTACGTGATACGAACTGTCACAATACAAAAGAAAACTGTTGGGCTGTTTGCACACTATCGTGCATCTTGAAACTAACAACGCAAAGAAAACTGTGAGGAACCCAGCCTATGAAACCGGGAATTCTCTACATGTGGTTGGCTCTGCCCGGCACCGCCCGCCTCTCGGACATTGACGTCAGTCATCGAGACGATAGCGCAGCCCATGGAGGTGTGCTTCCACACTGTGACAAATTCTCCAACCTTGCGCTATTGACATCAATCTCTAGCTGCGGCACGTACCAGTACCTCCAACCGAAACCCCGTCCACCAAAGACAAACTAAGATGACTAAGGCTATTGTAGAAATCATAAGCGTGACGGTCAGAGGATTATTTCGTAAGTCTGAAACTCTCTGGCGGTTCCGGAACCCTGAACATTTCACATGCCAACCATTGGAATACTATTGGCCTTGCCTAATCCCTACAGCAACTAGATGGCCACTTCAAGATGCAGGACAACCCCAGTGGGATCAACAGTGCTAATCAGATGATCTTCGCAATGGACGCTTCCACTGCTTCCCACAGCTAGATAAAAAAAACTAGCACCTAGCACATGTAACCGTGTAGAATAACTGTGCGTATATATTCCTATAACCTGTGGAACTCGGTGGTTTCCGTCCTCCAAGCAACCAGCTTGATTGGCGGCTTGGGAGGTGGTGCCGGTGCCTTGACCGCAGGGGCCTTGACCACAGGGGCGAAGACAACCCTCTGAGAGCTCGTGATGGAGTAGAGGCCAGGCTTGGAGAGGAGGTAGCGGTCCACCTAAGACATGCCCGTGCGAGTGGAGACAATTTTGGCAGGGTGGCAAGGCCGCCAGCGATGAACTTTGTCCAACAAAGCTAAATCGCTGGAAGGGAAGCGGATGGAGCGCACCAAGGAGGTGTAAATGTACCTGCTGTTGTTTCAACTGTTGATTGGTTGCTGTGGTTCCTTGGTTTGTTTCATGGTAGTTCATGTACCAGTTTTGAGTATTGAATTTTTTGCACGCCACCAACCTACTAGCGTTGGCCTCCAACCGGTAATGATGGCCACCATGCGAGGGCCTCCAACCTAGAGCCAATGGCTCCCAACCTACTCACCCTGTTTACCTCAGGAACCTTTTTAACCTAGCTACCGCGTGGCGAGTGGCATTCAAGTTTCGTGCGCATTATCTTGAGTATGTGACAATATCGATGCAGCCAAGGTACCGGAGAAAGTTCGGTAAACTTCTCTCTTACATCCTCCAAAGGCACTCCCCCAGGCGACTTCCGAATCTCCTGCCAGTCATGTCGAGGTTCATCACTGTCCAAGACCCTGTCGCCACCACACGGTGTGAGTTCATCGTTCGCGTGGAACTAGGAAAACACAAAAGTTGCTTGACCCTCTAAGGTGTGTGGGCAAAACCAATAGAAATTTGGACTTCAAGCAATGGAAGTCCATGTGGATCCCAACCCACACATGGTGGAGAATCATCCAACCGGTGGATCGGAAGTTGACATCTTGGAACATTTAAAAATAATTCAATTTCCTGCCCTCACTCCCCATGAACGAGCCCAGAGCGCTTCGATTCCAAAAGGTAGACTGGGCCAACTCAAGTTACATACATCGTTTGTGATTCGGTGTTTCTTGCTACTTTGTGACTGACTAGGGAGTTGAAGAGATGGGAACATTTGCTCAAAGGCCAAACTACCCCACCAAAAAGGTTGCCATGTTCCATTGGAAGCTGCCTGTCCATGCCAACCCTCTCTATCGTAGAATATGTTCAGCCAAAAACATTCCGAAGGCCAAGTAAACATGACTGGCATGTTTCGGCTTCGGGGCTTTTGCCGGGGAGTATTTGATCTGATGGTCTGGTCTACGGAATGGCTGTTTACCCCGAAGATTGGCGAATTTGTCCACACGCTTGGCGAAACTTCCCGGACTTACAGCAGGAAGAGTTTTGGGTTGCTTTATCCCCTGTGTCAGCTGCTCCCATCTTTACATGTTTTTCCCCAAGCAGTGTGGTAACACTAGGGGTTCCTACGGTAGGGGTTAAGGGCCGGTGTTTAATCGAGGTGTTTGCATCGCGGCGTCCGGCTAAATTCGTTACTATTTACACTACATTCATGCCTCTCGAAATGCATTTCGACTGCGCAGGCTCGCAAAATCTGGGTGGCCGTGGCGGGCGCTTGTCGCGACTGCGCTCTCGTTGTGGTCACGGTGGTCACTTTCCGTTGCAGGCGCAAGGGAAGCCTCGTGTTTTGGTGGTCCAAAATCAACTTTTCGTGTCAGGCGCAGTGGACGCAGTGGTGTTACTTCGATTCGATGTGTAGATTTCGTGGCAGGCGCAGCACTTTGGATATGGTGGAATTGCAGACTTTGTGGCGGCACAGCAGCACTTTGTGAACCTCGAAGTGCAGAATTCGTGGCAGGCGCAGCGCTTTGTGCACCTCGACGCTCTAGATCTCAAGATCTCTAGATCGCATTCTGCGCTATCTGACGCGTGCCCTCAGATGTGTGTTCTGATGATTACGCTCTCATATGTGTGCTCTCTAGACCTCGACCTCTAGATCTCCAGACCTCTCAAACTCTAGCCTTGAGACTATTGATGTTGCTACTAGGCCTTTAGCAGAGAACTTTTGATATCTCGATCTCAGGACCTCTAGATCGCTAGACCTCTGGACCTCGTGACCTAGATCTCGATTTTAAAATCTCTTGCATCGAAGCACTCGGCCTAGATCTCTTAATCCTTTGATCTCTATAGACCTTCAGATCATTCTCTCGATTTTGTAGACCTCTAGACCTAGAGACCTCTACAACTAACTGTCTGGATCTAGGCATAGAGCTTTGTATCTAGATCTCTCTCAATCTCTACTTGGATCGCTTTCCCGACCTCTAGAACCCTGTCGCCTAGAGAGTCTTGTGTCTAGGCCCTCTAGAAGTAGAGATCGCTTCATTTTTTGCAATTCCAACTTGCATGCTCTTTTCTGTTTGAGGTCATATGTTTGCATTTGCAAGTGTTACCTATGTGCCTTCGTTCCCGACAGTTCATCTCTGCGCGTGTCTGGCCTGGTTACATATGCAACCGCTTACTTTTCCCTCTACTTTCTCTTCGTGGGTGCTTTACCTCGGGCGGCTTTTCCCTCTACTTTCTCTTCCCCTGTGATCGTGGGTGCTCTACCTCGGACTCGTCCTTTTCGAACTTTACACTGTTTGGGGTCTCTTGCCGGGATACTGCCAAGCCAGGATGCAGCTAGATCTAGCTATGCCCTGAACTGTAGCGACCTGCTACAGGAGGATTATAGATTGGCGGCTTTGCTTGCTTGTACTCTCCTCCCCGATGGTCAAGTCGATGCTGGTCACGGGCATCTTCCATTTTTGGACAAACATCGCGAAGCCCATACTGGGGAAGCAACCTGTGCTGTGCGATGACGGCTTCTTACGGGATTCACAAAAATAAAAATACCAGAGTTTCACGACCTGAATCATGTCAGGAGTGGCACAAGACTGACTTCTTTCATCAAGCAGTCAGCGCCTAAATCGAACAGACATCCTCGCCCTCACCTCCAGTCTGTTTATTCTTTCAAACTCTGCACGGCCCACAACACAAAATGCTGCAACACAGTGCGGGTTCAAAAGAGTCAAATGCCCAAACTCATAGTAACGAACCATGCATGACCAACAGCCTCTGCAGCTCAGTGACAGCCTTTGCTTCGATAGCTCACCCAGTTCCCTTCGCAGCGGGTGGTGAACTTCCTTTGGAACCAGACTCTGGTGCCTGCACCATGGGGCAGCACGCGCGCTCGAATCCGGAGGTCAAGCGATAGGAGCTCCGCCAACTCCTTGAGGACCCACAAGCGACGATTGCCTTAGACCAGATGCACTTTGCGATAGAACGCCGCGGGTGTGCCTTCTGGCGTATCATGATCTTTGACATGCCCGGGTAATTCATCTGCTAGAGAGGTGTCCTGCTGCCATATGAAAGAAACATTCAAGGGCAAAGGGCCAAAGAAGACCGCGTACGTCGACGCCAATGATGACAACTACTGCACGAATGACAGCAACGACAGGCGTGCGTGGAAGGGCACAGTTGGGTGCAAAAGGATGAAAACAGCTTGACTAGACAGACCGCTTCCCGACATTTTTTCCCAATCCCGTTTTGCAGGGTCGACGTTTGCGCCATTTGTGACACTTGAAGTTTTGAAGTGTGGTGCGCGCGTGGTTCTACTAGGTTGCAATCAGGCATTCGCTGCAACTAACTATTGATTCTCTGCCAATCTGCTGACAAACTGTGGACAATCCACATAGCAATCGAGCTGCAATGTGTAGTTACGGGAAAACGGCCTACAACAACCACAAAAGGGTCTCGCCTTTTCCTTGAGCCAAAGTATGAGTGGTAGATCATGTATGGTACACCAGCATGCAACAACACCCCCCGCTGAACGAAAACCGGAGGAGTGAAGGGTATGTACAATGCACTAGCATTAATTGCGGGACCTACGCCGGTAACCGGTCCCCCGCAACGACTCAGTGAGGCCAGGGTTGTTTTTGCCCGCTCGCATTTGGTCCTTCACACCAGGCACTTCAACCTGTCCGCTGGTAAGTGGTAACCTTGCCAAGAGTGTCCTTGGTGACGGACTTGAGCCTTGACGTGATCAGTTCATCATCTCCGGCAAGCGGTCCCCCGCTGCGCGCTTCTTCTTCTTCTTCTTTTGGAAGATTCCACGGTAGTTATACACATGGTTGGCATAGACGAAGCTCGAAGCGGCCATGTCGTACACAAAGATGCTGTAGCGACATGAAATCCAGTCTGGGCAAAGAATCGTTCCGGCCGTCTTTTCCACGAGGCGATGTCCATGAATTGCCATCATGGGACGGGTCGCTGCCATCGCTGCGTAATCCGTCGTCTTGATGCTCCGTGGATCTTCTTTCGTGAGAAACGTGTAGGCGTCGCCGGCGCGATGGCCGCCTGGGATGAGCCCCATGTTAATGACATCCTGAATGGAAGCATGGTGAGTGTAGTGATAGAGGATGGTCGGGTTGATGTCATCCACTCGCCCATAGGCGTTCAGTGGCACACCAGGGAACTGGCCATTGTTATACTCGGCCAGGGTCGATGAAGCGCTCGTGCTCCGGCAAGGCCCTCTACGTTCTGGTAAGACCAGTTGTTGTGGTGTTGAATAGCCTTGACACGCAAAGGTGTATACTGGCGCTTTCCCCCGGCCAAAGTCCCGTTTGGCGCAATCTTGACCTCGAGCATGAACCTATGGTTGCTTGTGATCACAACCAGGAGGTCGTCTATGGTCGTCTTTTTCTTGATGCACATGTAAACATGATTGAACTCCATCACAGGCCTTTCTGGAACGCTGGAGGTGGGTAGCGTGTGTTCCCACCCACCAAGCAAAACCAATCAAAAACACGATGTGAAAGCCATTCCTGATTGGAGCTTAGATTGGCCAAATGGAGAACGGTGATGTTGCACCCTTCGGCATAGGAGGGGCCTTGGGCGCTGTCTTCGGCATCGCCTTGGATTTGACTGCTGTCTTTGCTGAGGCACGATCAGATGGTTCGGCCTCGGCTCCCGCCGGGCGTGCAGATTTCTCGAGCTGAAGCTTTTGAGCTGTCTTGGATTCAGCATCGGCCTCGGCTCCCGCCGGGCGTGGATTGGATGAAGACGCAGCCTCATCGGGCGACTTCTTTGATGCCTTCGGCTTAGGTTCCTGCATGGGTTGCGTCCTGCACTGTCCTTTTGGCAGGTGGCCAACGTCAGCCTTTGACTTGGTGCCCTCCTCGTGGAATTCAGCACTTCTGGAGCGCCTCGCCCTCAAGTCGGGGAATTGCCTCTTCGTCCGTGTAGATGCGGACAATGTCAGGCTCCTCAGGGGTGAGACGAAGTTGATAGAGCACCCCCTGCACTTTGACATTGAATCAGGCAGATGAGTCAGGATCGGCTGGTTAAACAAAATCTCTTCGTCGGGCTCGTGGCCCTGAAGCTCCGCAGCGACGATGTGCCCTTGGAGCATTTCCAGGATCTGATTCACATCATCGATTGGCTCATCATTGGAGGCTAAGATCTCGTCCTCTTCCGTGAGAGCCGGAGGAATAACCTCGGTGTCACCTTCAGCCGGGATTGGACCCTGAAGGGCGACAAACTCGATTCCAGTAGCAGAGGCTGGGGCTTGGTTGTTCTGATCACGGCCATCCGTCCCCGGAGGCGTGGTAGCTGAAGGAGCAAAGGTCTCGTCAATCTCAATGACCTCTGACTCGTCAACTTCCATAGCTTTTGCCTCCTCGGATTGGGTTGCAGACTGAGGCATGCCCAAGTCCTGATCAGACGAGCCCTCACATTGAAGGAAGCCTCTTGGCAGCTTCAACCTCCTCCTTGGTGGCGTCCTCCCAATCACCCCATGCATCGAGCATTGCGATCTCCTCAAACTCTGTGAGCTCAAGAGACTTTCTTGCCGGCGCCGGCGATGGCGTGCTGGCGAAATTCTCCGGGGCTTGCCTCGTACCAATCCCCCAGGCATAGATAGCCTTCGCTACCTCCGCGCCGGACAACACCCAGTAGAAGCAGGCAAAAAAAACCAACGGAAGCGTAGTACCGGACAAAGAGTGCACAGGAGCCAGCGTCGTCCCGGCGACGGATTCACACCCAGCCTCTTGAGGATTTCCAACGTGGTGATCATTTGTCTCGCGAAATCCTCAGGTATAGTCCATATACGACTCCCATCGAAGTATAATGACAATGACGGAGGCCACGTCCGTCCTTGCGCGCCGCAGATCCGACAACCTCCGCGTCTGCTGTGCGTGATTCTCCGCCACCTTGGCCTGCCAATCGTAGGCAGCCTGCTGCTTCGCAGGGTTGCGATGCAGCACGTTTGTGTCCACCCAAGGGTTGCCCACAAAGCCATAGTTAGCATAGACGTCATTGCCACTGACGATCACGGCTGGGGCAACATGTCCCGGTGTGCGACCCGCCTTGTGATCTCCTTCAAAACTTTACACCAATGCATTGAGTACTGGGCTGACCCGGCCTTCTCCGTGAGGAGAGTAGTGCCACCAGCCTTGAGGAATTCCCCGACGTTCCTCTTCACACGCTTGGGCGCGCCGTCGGCGTAGACGTCCTCACCCACTAAGGCCATTGAACTGCCGACTGCGTAGATGAAGTCGACCACGGTTTCCCCGAGCAAGGTAGCTGGGCCAAGACCTCGCGATGAGCCGCATCAACAGTACACTGCAACAGGTTTCATATTGGGTCACCCTCACAAGTAGCATCGAGATGGGAGCGTCCATCACGCATGGACTCACTAAATATGTGACCAAGCACCGCAGTGCGGCGCAGCAGGTTCTTCAGGTTCTTCCAACAATCGTCGTTGCCAACCTGAGTGGGCTGGCATTGAGGGTTGACGTACATTACATACCCGGATGATTGAGGAAGAAGTCAACGGCATCGGTTTCAACTGGACGACCAGAAGACATCGCATCCCACAAGTGCAAAGCAAGGTGTCGAAGATACGAGGTACCGTCCCCGGCCGCGGGCTTGAGTTAATTTGCAGCGGACACGCCGAAAGCTTTGTGAATCAAGTCAGTCACGCGGAATATGTGTAACTTTCCGTACGCCTCAATGACTCACCTCTGCCTTCAGCATGCTCAATGGTGCCATCACACTACAAGTTCACAAAGGACTCAATCAAGCTATCTAAATTAGATCGAATCTTCCACGGCTCCTTTATCGGAGTATCATGTACATCAACCAACAACACCAACCCTGCATCGAATGTGACTTGGTTCATCGAACGACGCTGACAAAACGACAACGCGTAATCCAACTTCCAGTACACACAGTTACTTTGACCATTCAATGTGGCAACGAATGGACGGGAACGAAGGGAGTTCACAAGATCAACTAGTGCGTTCCATAATTTCCTGGACCCACGTTGATGTTCTTCCACCTTGGTTGTGGCTGACGGTATTGTCTTGTTGACATGAATCCACGACGCGCCACCAGTACAGGGCAAACTAGCCCACACAAGCCGTCGACGTCCACTAGGAAGTTCGCGAAGAAGGGTCAAAACTTGTCTCACGATTCGTTTGCGCGTCTCAGGATTTAGGACATCGTCATCTTTAGTCACCCGAATCACCATACATCCAGAGGCAGTTTTGCGGGATACATCTCCTAGCTTAGAATCTGGTCTGCAGCAAACCTCAAGCATCATGAGCCCCAGGCGTTGCAGCGGCCTCTTCTTTTCTGCGGGCGAGGTGCAGCGGGCTTGCTATGACCTGACGAGCGGTTTCGTGAAGATGTCAGCAGCTTGTAACAATGAAGGAACATACACCAACGTAAAACGCTTCCTCTGAAATTGTTCAGCTAGCCATGCCAAATTAAGGCATTGGGTCTTGTCTGCGGGTCTGAAGGCTGGCGACCGACCGGACTCTCAGATCCTTATCGTTGCCTGATTCGCTGTCTGCTTCTTGGAAAAAGCAGTGAGGGGAAAGTAGGTGTTAGGGCCTATACCATGCTAGAATGCACCCTGACGTGGACCTACATGATCACGCTCTCCGGCATGACCGCTGTCAGCAAAAAGCCACAGCTTGCAGGGCTTGGGATCGTCGCCGATGAATCCCGATTGGACAACATCGATCATTGAATGGATGTAACGCATCAATCGATGCAATGCGACATCACATTCTTTAGACCACTTGGCGACACGACTTGCGAGACCTTGTGTAGCGCGAAGAACTTCGAAACGCGCCATATGGGCGGCGAACAGGACCTACATCAACGCTCTGCTCGCTATGGCCTGGAGTTCCCCCGGCGTTCTGTTTCGTCACCAATGGGTCGCGCGATCTTGTCATCATGAAATGGAG